TATATATATATATATATATAATGTTCATGAAAAGTAAACTGAAATAGCTTTCCTTTCCTTACTGACTCCCCCCCCCAAAACACAACTCCCTCCAAATGAGTATTTACACAGGTCTTTAAGTGTGGTTTTTGTGTCATGGGTGAAGCCACAGTTTGAAAAGAAATTAGTGTTTAATCATGTCTTTTTAAAAAAAACTTCCACCCACCCTAGTAATGTCTTTTCATAAACATAAGTTTAAAATGTTGATGTGAAAGGACATCACCAATGACTAGTTTCTTCAAGATAAACTTCTGGAAAAATCAGAATAAGCAAGTTCTAGAAAACCTGGGATTTTCTTTGGAGAGGGGCTTAGTGGGATAAGCAGAGGGTGAGAAGCCAGCTAGAAGCAAGGCCCTCTGGTGGGGCAGTGGAAGGCTGCACCTTGCTGTGCGGCTTCCTAGCGAGGTGCCCTCGGAAGTCTTCCTCTTCTAAGCTAGCAGCTGCTGGGAACAGGAAGAATTAGCCCATTATCTCCAAAGCCACCAACTGCATAGAATTGTCATGAAGCTTAAATGCAGATTTATGGCGCCTAGCACAGAGCACAGGCTGCAAGGGTAAATGCTATTACCAATAGTATCCAAAGGGTGTACCCTTCTGTAACACTGTTAAGTCTTAAAACAGTTACTCCCTTTTAAGGAAGACTGACCACTTGCAGCGAAAGTGGGCCAGAGTGAAAATGCTGAGGATGCAAGCGTTTCGGCTTAAGTTCCTCACAGGATCACTTCAAGGTGGAAAAAGAAAGCCTTTGTTTGAAGTATAAGTAGGACAGTTAGAGGAAACTCAGCAAGGCTGGGGTGCGAGGGAACAATTCACGGTGCTTGTCGAGGGAATCATTTAAAGAGGTTTCTAAAACACAAGTTCCTTTGCAAGGTCAAGTGGGGTTGGACGTCACTAGGGAGAGCCTCTTACACAAGCAGACTTGTCAAATCTAAAAAGCACACGCCTTATGGTCCCAGGGTGGGGGGGGCTACCTCTTGTGCGGCAGGTTATTTCTTGAGGGGTGACTTCGGACTGCTGCTGTAGGGGAGAAAAGAAACAGGCTGAAAACCCTACTGCTATCCCTGATCACCCCTAAACCCCTATCCGATCTCTGACAAGTTTCTGTGCCAATTATGACTTAAAAAATCAACTTTAACCAGATTTCTAGAAGCAGCTTTAGTGATCCCCTGTGGTTGGCTTCTATGCCTGTTCCTTTATCAAAAGCAGCCGAGACACATTTCTCTCTGGAATATTCCCCATCTTCACTAGCTAGCTAGTAAACTCCCGAGGACATATACTGTCCAAGGGGACGCAGGTTCACTTAGCACCCCCAAGGCTCCTTGTTCCCTGGCATTAAGTACAGTGGAAATGGCATTTCTTCCTCTCAAAGCCAACCCAAATTGCAGCCACTACTCATTTTTGAGAACCTTGAGACCCACAACCCGAGTCACTGACTGCAAAGGATGGGGTCTAAGACGCCCCCCAACTGAATTTTATTGAACCCGACTTTAGAGTTTACAGTTGTGTAAAGATTCTACTTGTGCTTCCTGCATCTTTGAGACAAAATACATGACGTGTATTGGAACTATCAATGATTTACCTCCAGGAAGTGCACATCAAACAAATGTGTGACTCGGGGCTGTCGGTCCCGCTCATCTTCCAGCGAGGAGGTGATGACGTGGAATAATTCATGAGCATCCTGTCAAAGGGCAAAGCATTCTTCAGAGAAGCATCAGAACCCTTGGCAGGGCCCCCAGGCAGACCCACATGGCTAGGGGGCACCTCCTCAAGGCCCCACTCTTCACACAGAAAGTCACGTCATAGACAAACGTTTCCACAGAAGAACCCTGGACTGAGAGAAGCCCTGGGAGAGAGGAGCTAGGGAAGCTGGGTGCACTGGCCCTGCCAGCTGTCTCTACGCTGTTGTAGTTTTACTCCGACGGCCCCGACCTTCCCTGCAGCTGCCTACTCTTCGGTGTGCGAAGGTCTGCCACCTTAACTACCCTGAAGCGCACAATTCCGTGGCAGCTGGTCCACTCGGGTCACTGCGCAGCCATCCCCCATCTCCAGAGGTTTCCCCTTCCTCACTGAGACTCCGGCCGTGTCCTCCGCAGCGCTGGCAGCCACGTGCTCTCTCCGCCTGAGGGCGGACTCCCGCCACCTGCGCTTGGCGACCTGCTGACTGCACCTATGAAGTGTCCCTCAGGTTCGTCCTAGTGTGGCAGGTGGCAGCGCTTCCTTCCGAATGTTACTTCATTGTGCGCGTGCGCGCACACACACACTTGGCTTATCCGTCCATCTGCTGACTGGCACTTGCTTGCCTCCATCTTTCGGTTGCCATGACTGGGGCTGCTGTGAATGTAGGGGTTCACATGCCTGCTCTCTGCCCTCTCGGGCAGATACCCAGAGGGGGCTGCTGCATCATGTGGTGGGGGGCTACTCTTTACAGACCCCTCAAATGCCCTCTCCAAAAAGCCAAAGCCACTGCTCACTCTTCCGACACGGGCAGGTCTCTGAAGACGCCAACCCTCACCAAGCTCCTGGCGTCCATCCAGCCTGGTCTCTGCCCGGTCACCAGGATGACCTCTGACAGGGCAACTTCACCCTTCCGCTTTCCTCTCCCCCAAAGGCTTTCACAACTACAGCAAGCCCCTCAGAGCTGCCCTGCAAAGGCCCCACCTTCCCACAGTGCTCTCCCTCACTGAGCCGGGGCCCACGCCTCCTGGCACACCGAACACACCAAGCCTTCCCGTCTCTGGGTCTGCGTCCCTCACACACAGCCTGGACACTCTGCCTTCCTGGTGCCTTCTGCAGGTCTCCATGGGATGACACCTGCTCCCTGAACCCTCTCCTCCACCACCTGCAGGCCAGGCCCAGCCAGGAGCCCTTCTCCCCAGCCTCCAATGCCGCCTCGCTGTGGCTGTCTTAAGGCTGCTGCCCTGGCCTGCTCCTGTCTGGCACATGAACACAGACCTTCACAGGCCTCGTTCCTTGTAGGTGTCACATCTCAGCTGACCCTTCATGTTCCTAGAAGAATCGGTGCTCTCTGAAGTAGTGCTCCCGTCTCCTTGACATTCACATTTGTCCCATCATCACATTTATTTTGCTAACACATCTTGAAATGATCTCTGCTTACAGAGTGGTGAGAATTCCAGCTCACAAGAGCAGGACTCCCAAGTCAATTCTAATGCCCTCAACAGGCCTCCCAAGGCTGGCAGTGGACAAATACTTGTTGCAAGAATAAATGAACTTCCTCCTAGGCAATGAAAGGGGGTTAGCAAACAAGTAGTGGAGATTTCAACATACACAAGGCAAGGCTGTAACTCCCAGGACTCAAATGCAGGGTCGAAGAGGCAGCCACTACTACCTAGCAGTGCAAGGCCACACCCGCTCGACCAGCAAGCCCAGGGGCCTGAAAGGGAATCTGAAAGAGGAATGGCCATCCTAGGAAGCTCTGGGGGCTTCCCAGACAAGGCACCTGGGCCAACCCTAGAAGTCCAGGCAGAGGTTCACCAGGGAGAAAAGTCCCCAAAGGGATGGAGTCAAGTCCAAGCTCTATTCTGTCACCGTCAGCTCATTCCTTGGCCTTGGGAGAAGGAACAGTCCAGCAGAAGTGGGTGGAGCAGGGGAGGGCATACTTTCTCACTTGTAACCTTATGCGGCGTGTAAGGATTAAATGAGCCCACTCACACAAAGCAACATTCAGCCTGCGCCATCCCGCCCTCCAGAGCCAGGCTCTAGGCGGTGGCCAGCGGCCAGAACCATGACAGTGAGTGACGGTGAAGACAGGGCTCTGCGCTAGGCTCCGAGGCCTCCCAGGGAAGAGGCTGCGACGCCCCTTCGCACACACGAGGGGCTCAGGGACAGCTGCCCTTGGGCCAAAGGCAGTTGAAATACCTTTCAAGAGTAACTGGGGCTTACGCAGGCCCATGGCTGAAGAGCAGGAACTAGAAAGGCATCTGATGGCCACAGACTTAGACCTCAGTCGCTCACTTTTTAGAGAAAAGCAAAATGCAGCTAAATATTTCTGGTTTTAGAAGAAGAGGAGTCTTCTTCTAGAGGAAAATTTGAAAATGATTCTCTAAATGGAAAACATTTCAATGTAATTGAGATTGTATTAGATGTATCAAGATGCACTGTAATAAAGCATAAATGTGCTTAAAAAGTAACTCATGCATGGCTTCAGATAGTGCAGAAATAGAGAATTGCTTAAAATAAGGGGAGCTAGAGGCCTTCTCACCACACTTGCCAGACATGAAATGCCTCACTTCAGCACCAGAATTTGGGGACCCTAAGAGCTGTCTCCACAGCTCTGATCCAGTGTCTGGATGATGGAGGCAGAAGCAGCACCCCAAGGCTGGCTGTGGCCTTCTGGGATGGGTGTACCATACTCCTGGAAGATACACTGTATGACCCTAGAACGTTACTCTGGCCCAGCCTCAGTCTTGCTGCTGGGCACAAGCAACCTGGGGAGGAGGATGGGCCACACCGAGGAGTGAAGCTGGAGTTGTGGAAGGGGGGTGGGAGGGCAGGACAAGAGCCCCGGGGCTGCACACGATGGCTGTGGGGTTTCGAAGCCCCTTTCAACAGCCTCTGACGGCTGGTTTTGTTTCTTTTTAAATCAGGGTGTGGCCCAAAAAAGGGGTCTCTACTGAGCATCACTGCCTCTAAGGTACGACCACCTGCCTCTCCCTACAGAACAGATGTCCCCATCACCCCTGAAATGCAAGGCTGCCCTCTGGCAGCTATGCATGTGCTCGGCCCTGCTAGCCCTCCACCCACTGGGTGAAAAGAAGCCATGCTCCTCTCTGACAGAGCAGGAACTCAGGTCACTATCTGGCCCCAGGACACTCAAGCTATCCAGACTTTTACTGGCAGGCGTGTACATTCGGGTCCAGCAATGACAAGGTCACTCCTGGTGGTTATTCTTCCGAGATGGCAACAGGGTGTTTCCGGCCATCTCTATGAGCATGGACCCCACGTCATCAGCGGGATGGGTTCCCCGTGCTAGGCCCGTTTTGAATATGGTGTTCACCTGTTCTTCAAATGAAGAGATCTGCCATCTGTACATTCTTAGAACATCCAATAAGCAGCTTGCATCCAAGACTTCATCATCAGTAACTTCTTGGCAGGACAAAGCTGGAAGCAAGAAACGTTAACAAGGTTAAATTCACCAGCATAATAACTAGCCAGAAAACCAGCACAGCGCGACATGTCACACTGTGTGGGGAGTGGGAATTGTTTCAAACG